TAGCAAGCATTTCAAGTCCTACTCACTTTTTATCATGCAAGTTTGTGTCAGCTGCATTACACAGGTTTTTATTGTGCTCTTCTTTGCCTTCCTCTGATGCCACATTCTTTTTCATAGAGTCCAGCTTCTTGAATGATTTACTCAGCACGCAGATTTAACAGATGTAGGGAAAGAATATAACCTTGAGTACAATTTTCTTGATTTTGAACCATGCTATGTTCCATTGCTCTGGTCAGACAACAGATTCTTAGTCCAGGTATAGATTTTGTATCAATACAATTAAATATTCTGGGATTTACTTTCTTCTAATGTTAACCAAAAATTGTAATGATGCACAAAGTCAAATATCTTTGCATATTACCTTGAACAGGAGACTTGCATTAGAAATTTGAAGTTTGAGAAATAGCCAAATGTCTCTTGAAAGGATTAAGTATACATCAGGCAATCAATAAGTTATAAGGCAGAAATAAATTCTATAAGGCAGTAAGAATCATGTTAGATCAGTTCCATTTTCCTGAATAGGGATTCAAAGTAAAAAAAAAATCAAAAGTAATGCATAAAAGCAGTGGAGGCTACTTATGACACTAAGAGTTATTGGAGAGGCAGTGGAGGGGAGCCTGGCTTCAAGCCAAAGCACAAGAAGGGAAGGCAACCCCTTCAAATGAAGATATTTACTCCAAAATTACAACTTTTTAGGTCACCTAAATTCTGAAAAACTGAACAAAGTTATGTATGTTGTTGCTAAGTGCCGTTGAGTACTGTATTGACTACTGTAAGTAGTCAATCATAAGCTGTGTAGCTAGACAAAGAAGCAAGAAAGTATAAAAGGGAGGGCTCCCTTGGTCTCAGGTCTCTCGGATGGATGCTGCTGTGTCAGCACACGGGAGTCCGGGTTCAAACTCGAAATAAACTTTATTAATTTGGCTAATTGGCTCGGTGGTCTTTTCTGGGGACTCGCTCCGTTACAGGGATCTTAACAAATTATGACTCACACTGAGAAGAATGTGAATCCCAGAACAATTAGACAAAACCTATACCTGGACTAAAAGTTGGTTGTGTAAACAGAACAAGGGATTACCTGATTTCAAATTAAGACGTGTAAATCAGCCTCATATTTAGATTTCAAAAGTCTATAGCTTCTGAAATGTGCTAGCAGGCACTTCCGATTGTAAAATGTGCTCACAGGAACCCTTGTCTTCAGTCTGTGTTACTATATTAGTCCAGTGTTACAAAATTCTAAATCCTGCCAGGAATGTCTTGCCCATCAGTCTTCCAAAAATCTTGAGTAAAGACTCATAGCTCTGGCTTCATGTAGAAGTTAAACTTTGTCTCAGGTCCTGTGTCTGGTTCTCTGATGTGACTGCTGCTTCAGAAGGCCTTGGTCTCCCCCTAGCGTGGGAATCTCGGATCCCAAAGGATACACTCTGGATGTTTTGCTTTTTCTTTGGTGATGGTAAGACTTCCAAAATGTGCCACTACATCTGCTCAATTTAGTGATGAGACTAAATTGTATGTAAAGCAGTCACAACGTGAGGGAGGCTAAGTCTGAATTCTACCCACTTCATAAAAGAGAACTGTCACAATTATTACTATCCATTGTTGTTGTTGTTGTTGTTATGTGCCATTGAGTCGCTTTCGACTCATAGCGACCCTATGTACAACAGCCCTAAACTCCGCTCTGTCCTGTGCCAATCGCACTGTCTCTGACACTCCCATCCCGATTATCCCAGTCACTGAATCAATCCACCTCATAGAGGGCCTTCCCCTCCTGAGCTGTCCCTCCACCCTCCCAAGCATGATGTACTTCTCCAAGGACAGGTCTCTTCTCACCACATGTCCAAATTATGTTAGTAGGAGCTTCAGAATCCTTGCCTCCAACGAGCCAACCGGTTTGACCCTTTCCAGGACGAATCTGTTTGTTTTCCTAGCAGTCCATGGTATTCTCAATACTCTTCTCCAGCACCACAGCTCAAAGGCATCAGTTCTCCTGCTATCCTTCTTGGTCATTGTCCAACTCTGATGCATAACAAGTGATTGTGAAGACCATGGCCTGTATCAAACACACCTTAGTCTCCAGAGAGACACCATTGCTCTTCAATACTTTGGAGATGTCCCTAACAGCAGACTTGCCCATGGCAATGCGCCTTTTCATTTCCTGGCTACTGGTGCCAAGAGTGTTGACTGTGGAGCTGAGCAAACTAGAGCTGTGTACAATCTCAATCTCTTCACCATCCATCCTGATGCTGCCAATTGGTCCAGTGGTGAGAATCTTTGTCTTCTTGACATTGAGCCTCAATCCATATTGGAGGCTGCAGTCCTTGACCCTCTACAGCAGGCGCTTCAGGTCCTCTTCAGTTTTAGCAAGCAGGGTTGTGTCATCGACATAATGCAGATTGTTGATATATCGTCCACCAATCTTGACCCCACATTTCTCTTCACAGAGCCCAGCCTCCTGGATAATCTGTTTCGCATATAGGTTCTAAATAAATATCTACATAGCAGACATGCTCCTGTACCTGTTTCCATGAGTCACCGGGGATATTCATTCAATATTAATTGAAAATTGACTCACCTCACATTGGTTATGTTTATTAGGGAGACATACTTGGGGGTGGTAGGGGCAGAGGAGGGCTGAAACAAAGATTATCATGCAATGCAAGTTCCGGTTTTGTCCAACAGTCTCAATCCAGATTAACAAGGCACAGTTCAGCAATTAGTTTATACAGGTCCCCTGTCAACAAGTGATAGTCTAAGTCCAGTTCAGAAGTACAAATAAACTTTAAAAAATATTAATTTTAATGAATGTTTACAGAGATTTGGGGTTTCCTTTCACTCATTGTTGTGCTTTTCTCCCTGCCCATCCCTCCCCCCACAGTTTGCTCCTCTCTTTGAAAAGTAAAATTCTTTCATTGGTATAGAACCCCCTTTCCCCCGAGTACACTCTACTATGCAATCTTCATTCTGGACTCTTTTCATAACTATAATACCCAATCATATAACACTTTTAAACAGTTCTCTCCCTCATCTTTTTAATGCATTATATAGAATGTATCCAATTTTTCTCAGTCTTACCCCAACTCTGATATCAGTCCCGTTCAACAACAGTGGCACTGTGCAGCATTTGTCTTTATGTGACTGAGATATTTCAATCAGAATTATGTCCTCCAGGGTCACCCATTTTTAATAATATTGCATGAGTTCCTTCTTTATCAATGCAGCATAGTATCCCATTGTGTGATACACCAGAGCTTCTCTATCTATTCATTTTTTGATGGGCACTTAGGTTGTTTGTGACTCTTTGCTATACAACCAGGAGAGGATAAAATAGATAAAAGGGACCTTCTAAGAATCAAATCCCTATGCACATCTAAAAACTTCTCCAACAGAGTAAACAGGAAAGCTACAGATTGGGAAAAATGTTTGGTAATGACATGCCTGATAAGGGATTTAAATCTATAATTTATAAAATACTCGAGCATCACAACAAGATAAAGGTAAATAACCCAATTGAAAAATGAGCACAGGATATGAACAGACACTTCGCCAAAGAAGACATTCAGATAGCCAACAAATACATGAAGAAATGTTCAAAATCCCTAGCTCTAAGAAAGATGCAAATCAAAACAACTATGAGATAACATCTCACCCAGTAAGAATAGCAAAATTTAACAGAGCAGCAAACAATAAATGCTGGCAAGGTTGTGGAGATACTGGAAGCCTTATTCACTGTTGGTGAGAGTAAAAATGATGCAATAATTATGGAAGGCAATATGGCAGTTTCTCAAAAAGTTGTAAATAGAAATACCATTTGACCCAGCAATTTCTCTACTAGGAATATACCCTAAAGAAACCATAACTGCCACCCAGAAAGATATATGTACACCCATGTTTATTGTGGCTTTGTTCACAAATAAACTTTTGGTTTCCTCAATTGTTCAGAAAACTTTTATCTCCAGCAGTTTTATGTTAGCTTTTCCTTCAGTCATCCAGTAAGCAAAATCTTTAACTGTGGCTCCATCACCAAGGTTCCTCTGTTTATACCTTGCCACAGTTACTTCAAAATAGTGCCCTATTATCTTCAACCTCTATCCACCACCATCTCTCATACATAGTGTCTTCACAGTTCTCCCACAATATGGAAGTGTTTTCTTTTATGTTGATCCTACAGTTGTTGATGATTTACAAGACCATATGTCTTCAGTTAAGTTAGGTGGAGACCATGTTCCCAACAGAGGCTAACACAATGACTAGTAAAGCCCATTTTCAAAGGTTCTGATACCACATTAGCCAATATTCTTGTTGGTAGGCTAACATACCCTATTCACACATTTCCACTAATTCATTAGACAAAATCAATGGATCTGAAAGGAACTTTGAATAATAATAAATCCTGAAAACCACATAAAGCAATGTCAGTTAGAGGACTAAAGTGTGCTTGATTTAGTCCATGGTCTTCCAATAACTTTTTATGCTTCAGAGAGATGGATAGTAAATAAATACAAAAGAAAAGGAACAGATGTCCTTGAGTTATGGTGTTGTAATAAGAGTACTGGATATTCCATGGAATACCAAAAGAAAAAACAGAAATGTCTTTGAAAAGGTACAGCCATAGTGTTCCTTAGACATAAAGGTGATTGTGGTGTTAAGGGTTTATTGTCCAAAATGTCTTAACTTACTTTGCCATGTGGATGGACAAGAATGTATGAATAGATTGAGTTAGCCTATCCACAGCTCTCATCAAAACATAAGAAGATTGGCTAATCTTGGCATTAAATTGGTCAGATCCAGCAGCAGAGAAGGAGAATCTTTCCCCACCATCAAAAAAAAAAAAAAGAAGAAGAAGAAGCAAAAGAAGGTAATGTGTCCTTTGGAGCCAGAGATTCTTGTGCCAGCTGGATTGATTAGAGCCTCTGGGAGCAGCAGCCACTGCAGCCACAGCAGAGAACCAGAGACCTGCCGTGAGATGAGACCTTGGAACTGCTTTCTCACAGGAAACAGAGCTAAGAGTCTTTGCCCAACTTTGCTGGACCACACAGGGGATTGGGATTGGGAGTAGAGCCATACTTGGCAGGACTAAGAGCTTTGTAAAACTGCCCCAAAGCCACAAGGCTCAAAACTGAGGCAACTAAAAAAAAAAAAAAAAAAAAAAAAAAAAAAAAAAAAAAAACTGAGGCAACTGCAAGCACATTTCAGAAGCTGTCCTGACTGTATTCTGCTATTCACCTGGATTACAACCTTTGACTTCCCCAATATGGTTCTGTGTAGTCTGTGAGCTGTCATGTGGGATTTTGCACCTAGTAAAACAGAAAAGAGTGGTGTTGGAATGAGTAGAAAGAGGTTCAGAAACATGGGGGACATGTCTGATCTTGTAAGAACTTGTTTTGTATCATTGATGGGCATATCGTTCCCCTTTGTGAAGGAGGAAGAAGTCAGATAAGTTCGTCCTCACATGATCCTTGCACTTTTTACGGTGAAGAAGGTTCATCTCAAATACTTTCATCATGTTCCTAGGAGAGGCTATTCCTTAGAGTGGGACATAATGTTTGGAAAGCTGGAGGGTGAACAAAAAGAGGAAGACAACCAAAAGGATTGACACAATGACTGCAAGAATAGGCTGATGTATATCAGAGATTTATAGCACAGGAAAAAATTAGGGTTAAGATCTGTTGTTGATAGGGTTGCTATGAGTCATACTTGACTAGGTGATGCCTAACAACAACAAAAAGAACACAACAGTTCAAATTATGATAACAGGCCAAACATTCTACTAGATGTAAAAATATCAAAGCAATTCTCCCCTTATTCAAGTCGAATGGACATTTCTCTATTATTTTCATACCATAGATTAATAAAACTGGAACACATTTTGGAGATCCACTAGAGTGAAACAGTTGTTGTAATCATTAAGTAATGAGTATAAAGCACATTAAACAAAGTAACACATTATATAAGTTTAGAGTTTGGTGGGGACAATGAAAGTGCTTCATTAGGATTCCTGTATTGTCATTACTCAGAAATTTATGATTTATGAGAAGGCTACTGTTTTTATACACAGTCAATTTTTCTGTGTTTTGACAGAATCAATTGCTACCGACTGTTTAGCTGAGGTCAGATCCCAAAACTTCTGGCTGTATTTACAAACTGTCTTCTTTCAAAACTAATATTTATCAACAATACATTTTATAAATTCCTATGCAATACAGTTTCTCTGCACTAATGAATATGATTACAGGACACAGGCATGTGCTTAAGTCTGTTCTTTGTTTTGGGACTGTCACAAAAGAATCCCCTGCACTTTCCAACAAAAATGGTTTGTGATTCTGTTATTCTACACTATCCTTGTCTTTAAAACTTTTATTTACCTACATTTGCTATCTAGTTTTCAAAGTTGTACAACAGCCCTAAACTCTGCTCTGTTCTGTGACAATTGCACTGTCTCTGACACACCCATCCCGGTTATCCCAGTCACTGAATCAATCCACCTCCTAGAGGGCCTTCCCCTCCTGTGATGTCCCTCCACCCTCCCAAGCATGATATCCTTCTCCAATGATTGGTCTCTTCTTACAACATGTCCAAAGTATGTTAGACAGAGCCGCAGAATCCTTGCCTCCAATGAGCCACCCGGTTTAACCCTTTCCAGGATGAATCTGTTTTTTTTCCTAACGGTCCATGGTACTCTCAATACCCTTCTCCAGCACCACAGCTCAAAGGCATCAATTCTCCTTCTATCCTCCTTGGTCAGTGCCCAACTCTCTGATGCATAACAAGTAATTGCAAAGACCATGGCCTGTATCAGATGCACCTTAGTCTCCAGAGAGACACCATTGCTCTTCAGTACTTTGGAGAGGTCCCTAACAGCAGACTTTCCACGTGGCAGCCATTTTCATGAAATTGAAAGGTATCAGAATATTTTAATCACCCTCTTTATTTTTAAAAAATCTTACCAATTTATTTAGGAAAAGAACAGATTATTTTAGATAAACACTCAAACATTTGAAGATACCTATTTCTAGTTTTGGGTTTTTTATTTTTTTGTGATGCAAGCAATACAGCTAATTATATTTTTATTCTCACAACATTTAATATTTCTCTAAACTATCTTACAAAGATTTAAAGTTTTAATCAAACAATATTGTGTAGACTCTTATTCAGATTTATTTTTAACTGTACATTTTATTGAATATTTCCCCATCATTCACCCATCACCACTCGCTAGTCTCTGCTATCCCAGTGATCTTTTCCCTCTCCTTCTCTCCCCCTTGTTTTCTGTTCTCCCTTCCCCATCTGAATATTCATATGTATCCTCGTCAATTATCTGTCTATTATCTCAATAGTGGCCTTATGCAATATTTATCCTTTTGTAACTGAAATATTTCACTCAACATAATGTTCTTTAGTCTCATATAGCATTTTACAAAATCATTACTCCTTATTGCTGCATGGTATTCCATTGTGTGAATGTACCAAAATTTCTCAAACCATTTCTTTGTTGATGGACATTAGGGCTATTTCCATTATCTTGCTGTTGTAAATAATGATGCTATGAACATAGGTAAATATATCCATTCATGTCTCAGTTATGATTTCTTTGGGATATAATGTGAAGCAATGGAATAGCTGGATCACATGTGATTTATATGTTCAGGTTTTGAAGAAACGTAGCATTACCATCCATAAAGGTTGTACCATGGCACAATCTCACCAGCAGTGCAATATTTTTCCTGTCCAACATTTATTTGTTGTTGTGTTATTTAACTTTGCTATTGCAGCTGGAGTGAGATGGTATATCACTGTTTCGATTTGAATCATGATCGAGATGTAAAGTATTATCCTTTACAGTTTATTGTTTTTGTGCACATGCAAGGTAGAACCAACCTATAGCTGACCCCTTAAAGAATTTTCAGAGTCATTAAATCTATTGTGAAAAGAATGCTTATCTTTTCCCAACAGAATAGCTGGTGAATTCAAACCATATTCTCTTAGATTGGCACTACTGTTCTTTACCACTAAGTCTCCAGAGTTCTGAAAAAGGTAAATATTTTCATTGATAATTAAACTACAAGTGACATTTCCCAATCATTTGTAAAATTTAAAAGTAATTTTAAAAGACAGAGCTTACAGTTCCTTTTCCTACTTAATAAAACTCACAAGGTGGCACATGACTTAGATATCAGTTGATAACCATTTGTCCTAAGTCTTAAAGAGAGACAAGGTTTTTTCCTTCCTTTTAGCTTGTTATTGGATATTGAATGTGGGGTTAGAAAGAATTTTTGTTGTTCTTATGTGCCACTGAATTTCCTTGGCTCTTAGTGACCCTATATACAACAATCCTAAACTGTACTCTATCCAGTACCAATGTTACTGTCTCCGACACACCTACCTCCAATTACCCCAGTCACTGAATCAATCAATCCATCTCATCAACTGTCTTCCTCTCTTCCTCTGTCTCTTGACCCTCCCAAGCATGATGTCCCTCTCCAAGGACTGATCCCTCCTTGCAACATGTACAAATTTCATTAGACCTACTTTGAATCCTTGCTTTAGAATCCTTGCCTTTAAGGAGAAACTTGGTCTCACTCTCTCTAGGACAAACCTTTTTGTTCTCCTGGCAGTCCATGGTATATTCAACACACTTCTCCAGCACCACAGCTCAAAAACATCAAATCTCCATCTATCATCACTAGTCATTGTCTGGATTTCTGATGCATAGCAAGTGATTACAAAGACTATGGCCTGAATCAGGCGCACCTTAATCTGCAGACTGACATCATTGTTCTTCAGATACTTTGGCGAGGTCTCTTACAGTTGACATTCCTAATGTAATTAATCTTTTAATTTAATTTACTGGTTGATAATATCAATAGTGTTGATTATGGAGCCAAGTAAACTAAAGCTGTTAACAATCTTAATCTTTTCACTGTTTATCATCATGCTGCCAAATGGTTCAATGGTAAGAATCTTGGTTTTATTTGTTTTTCATTTATTTGTTTATTTATTTATTTTTAATTTCAATGAACATCTACAGAGATTTTGGAATTCCATTCCTTCATTGTTGCACTTTTCTCCCTGCCCACCCCTCATTGAAGTGGGGTTGGGGGATATGTGGGTTTTATTTTATTTTTTTTTAATCTTTGTTTTCTTGATGTTGAGCTTCAATCAATACTGAAGATTGCAGTACTTGACATTCTGCAGCAACTGTTTCAGGTCCTTTTCAGCTGTTTCAAGCAGGGTTGTGTTGTCTGCATAACACAGACTGTCTTCCTCCGATTCTGATGCCACATTGCTCATAATTGATCCCAGCCTCTCAGATAATCAGTTCTTCACATAGATTGAAAAGGTATGGAGATAGAACACATCCCTGGCATATAACCTTCCCAATTCTGAACCATGCAGTGTTTCCTTGCTCTGTTCTGGCAGCTGCCTCCTGGCCCAAGCATAGGTTTTGCTTCAGCACAATCAAGTGTTCTTGTATACCCATTTTTCTCAGAGTCAGCCACAGTTTGTTGTGATCTATACAGTCAAATGTCTTTGCATAGTCAATGAAACAGATAGATATTCCTCTGGTACTCTCTGCTTTTAGCCAAGATCCATCTAACATTAGCTATACAGCCTCTTTTAAACCCAACTTGCCCTTCTGGCAGTTCTCTTTGATGTGCTGGTCCAGTCATTTTCAGATAATCTTCAGCAGAATCTTGCTTACATGTGATATTAATGATATTGTTTGATAATTTCTGCATTCTGTTGGGTCACTTTTCTTTGGAGTGGGAACAAATGTAGATCTCTTCCAGTTAGTTGGCCAGATGATCATCCTCTAGAATTCTTGGCACAACTTTGTGAGCACAACCAGGGAGGAGTCTGTTTGTTAGAATATGTCAATTGGTATGAAATCAATTCCTGGGACCTTGTTGATGCCGGAGATAAAAAAGTAAGGAAAAATGAGATGCTTTCATATTTTTTAAAAAAGTCATTTTTAGATCAATCTTGAAATACTTGTGAGTGACAGGATAGTATTCATGCACACACAAGGAAGTCCAGTGAATACCACTATCATTCAGATATATGCACCAATAACCACAGCCAAAGAGGAGGAAATAGAAGATTTCTACCAAATTTTGCAGTCAGAGATTAATCAAATATACAATTAAAATTTATTAATAATAATGGGTGACTGGAATGCAAAAGTTGGGAGCAGAGAGGAAGGATTAGCAGTTGGAAAATATGGACTTCATGACAGAAATGAAGCTGGAGAGAAAATGTTAGAATCTTGCACAATCATTGCAAATACGTTTTATAA